CACATGTCTCAAATTTGCATACCTGACACGATCTCATTATTTGAAGCAGCTCCTCTCTCTCTGTGTATGGAGCTCTAAGGACTTACTAAGCACTATCAAACCAGGCTGTCCCACACAATGTACGTCCCAAAGATAAAGTGGAAATTGGCCAAATGAGATGGTACCAGTGCTGAAAAATACAATACATACTTTATCCACACATACAAAACCAACAAAACTTAAAATATCTCCTTCCATATCCAACCTTCATCATGCATCTTGATATCTTGAGTTAAAGCATTTTTATTATTCTAATACTTCACAAGTAATTTCTCAGCCACTCAGATGTTGGGTCCTTACAACACCAGCAGTAGTTTTTCCACTTCCCTTGTCTATCCTGTTCATTCCTCAGAGGGAATCAAGTATCCAGAGCACAGCCTCCAGGATGAGTTCAGTTGAAGCATACCATTATTTCTTGGCACATATATTAAAAGAAGAATTATCTTTTTCCATGGCTACACTTCACCTTGTTCTAAAAATAACTTGTGAGGCACTCCAACTTATCTTAGATTACCAGGAACCATACCCAATATACCTAATTTTCACAAAAGTAATGAAATTGGTTTATGGATACAATTACCTAAATATAAAGTCTGTATCACTGACAGAACTGAAGAGCAATATATTCTTATATGCCAACTTTCAAGCATATAAGGACATTTGATTCCAACGGCAACAGAAGCTGGTATTTCAGTAAATTAAAAAAGGAATTTACATTTTCTTGCACTTGACAGTCAAGCTTCCTTAAGTTTAGGACAGCAAATAATAAAGATTTCTTTATCTATATACAACATTCAGTTGTAATCAGCATCTTGCAGAAAGTATCCTGCTTTACTAGTTCAAAAATTTGAAAATATATTTAAAAAAAAAATTCCTGCTAGCGGATACCAAATTGTGACAACAAGTCAATACTTACCAGTGCCCACAAGTATAAGAAGGGATCATAGAGTTAAACCTGTAGACTTGTTAAACCCTTACAGTAGCACTGCTGTCTTCGGTGTTGTTTTGCTTCCTCATGACTCAACATTTTTCTATAGGATAACTGTCTCTGACAGACTTGTAGCTAATCAATGAACCTCAAAAAAAGTAATCTTTCCACCTCCCTACTTTTGTACTAATAAAAGTATCTACTGTCTTTTTATTGACAAGTTTTCACTTGGCAAATGATATGTACAATAACACCCCCAGTCCCATCTCTTACAGCATTTTTTTCTGTGGAAGTGAATGACTGAAGAGCTCACAAAGCACAGATTCTGTGTACAAAAATGTTATGAATCAAAACATAAAAAAGACCATTGGACTTTGACTAAGCCCTGCTTCTGTACTTGAAACGTAAGTGCCTATTTATGAAAGTTTTTTAAAAGGATATATTAAAATTAAGAGCATCTACCTCACAATCATCAAGAGCCTTTTAATAAACCAGTGCCTACACAAACTCTGCTTCCAAGAGCTACCAAAATAAGGAGAACTGTCACATCTCCACTGTGGGCTGCAGGACGCTGTCCTTGGTGAGTGACTGCACAGAGCAACAATTCTCTCACTAGTCTTGGTAAGGGCTCAGAGGAACATGAGGGTCCCTGAACTTATCAGCTCTTTTCTGCACCATTTTGTACCTACTGGTTTGTTACTCCAACCAGTCAGCAGACCCGAAGGGGACAAAGAGAAAGAACTGCCATAACTTTACAGCCATTATTGTGGTTTCTCATGTTTTTATATAGAGGATAATCACAGATTAGTTGGTTTTACAAAAATAGCATCCTTTAACAACATAATCCAAGCATATATAAAACCACAGGATTGACTTCCATATGTAAGCAAGCCAAAGGGGTTTTAAACAGGAAAGCTTTGCAGACAAAAATTAAGGAAACCTCAATTTCCATGCTTTAATCTGAAAATAGTTTGTGTCTCTTCTTCAGAAATACCTACCTTGGAATTACTTCCTCTATGTGAGTGTCTGCCCCGATGAATGTCCTGGAGTGCTACAGGCACCACTGAAATCAAGATAATTGCCCTGCATTTTATGACTGCTTGAAAGTTCAAACTGGGTACGTGTCTTGGATCTGAAAAGCAGATTGCCCTGTGGTTTTACAAAAGGCAAGCTAGAACTCAGATTTTTTTTTAAATGAAACAGATTTCTTTCCCAGATGATTACCTTGGCCTGGCAAAAAATGTAATCACTGTGAAAAATAAGTTGCATAAACCAAAGTACCACCTGGTATTTTCTGCTCAAGCATTAGCAAAAGATAAAACTATTCTTAATCAGGACTTCAGTCTAAGAAATTAAATAATAGAAAAATATATATCCAGTATCATCCAAGAAGTTTTGGACAGAAGTTTTTTTTGGTGCATTAAACCATATTACTCTTCTTCTGTAAAACTTTAAAATATAACTTAACTAGTAATAGATTGCTTACTGATCCCATTGCCAAGAGTAAAAAAATGTGGTAGAATTAGCCAGTTCATATTATCTCTTAAGATGATTGGACTTTACAGGGCCAGAGTCTACTGGATAAAATATTTTCTACTGTAGAAATGAAATAGCTGAAAGTCCAAAATAAAACTTTACATAATCATTTTTAATATTGCACAATATCAACCTTTCAGCTAAGCCATTAAAATCTAGATGTAATTTTAAAAGAAGAATCATTTTAAGCATTTAACTAGGTTTTTATTTCCTTTACGGAAGAAAAATGGCAGTTACATTTTTAAAAATATAAGTCAAAGACTTAGTTTTCTGAGAAAAACACCTCTGAACTTCTTATATGATTCAAGAAATAAAACTTTCAAGAAATTAATTTGTTTGATTTACAGGCAAGAACTTTAAAGTATTTCAGATGAAAAAGGTCAAAAGTCCCTCCCCTAAGTATCTTGCTCAGAGTGTGGATTTTCTAGTAAAGCACATGCAATCTGCTTGTGGGATTCTGCCTATTCTTCTTAGACAGGTACACTTTACTGAAAAGATAAAGGGGAAAACCCACCAGATTTCCAATCACTACCAATCATCAAAATGTTAGGAAAAACTTTCCAAGTCTAGTCATTACTGATTTTTCCTTTTATGCAGGCTTTTCTGTTGATAAGACCCCTAGTTTTCCTGTTTCCATCACAAAGCAGCAGTAACTGACGCTTAATTTCCAAATTAACCAAAAAGTATGGTACAAAAAAGACAAAAAAGTCTTTCTTATTTAGCTGAATAGATACACTTTCTAGGAAAATAACTGATTAAAAGCACACAGTCTTTCTAGTTGTCATCTGTAGATAAGAAAAGTTGTAAACACAGGGCAAAAGGACATTTTTTGGAGAACGAGAAATTATTGTTTGGTGGCTGAGACGTTCCAGTTTTGTTCAGAAGCATGGGGCAGGCAATCTAAATAATTTAAGGTCAGCTGAGCTGCTCATACCAATTTAGCTAAAGCCCACACTAGATGAAGACAGCTTTTTCTACTTTGGATAACTGAAGGGACCAGGAAGACTATTCAGCATGGAAACTCAGATGAGCTGAAATTAAGGATGATTAAAACAACTTTGGTTCTTAGATTAAATGAAAATTCATAACAGGATTTATTTCATATGAAGTTGCTACTGAGATTTATGAAATCAGTCTCCAACATACTGGATAATTTTTTCAAGATTTTTCTTTGTGACAATGCAGCTGAAAATCAGAAGGCAAAAATTGTTGTCTCTATCTGAAATGTTCACATTAATCCAAGTCATAGTTTAGTATTTTATGCAATAATTGACCAGACATGA